AGGAACACAGTAAACAAGTTAGGGAAGCCTTTTTAAGGAATAACCCCAAAAAAATGTGGGACACGGTGAAAGAAATGACTAATATGAACTCTGGTCAGAAGGAATTAAGTGTGGAGAATGAATTTGATAAGGCAAATGATCTTAACATCTTTTATAAACGTTTTGATTTGAATGGTGAAACAAATGTGACTTGCTGTAAAGAGCTGTCTATGTCAATACCATGTGATCCAATACTAGATAGAATAATAATTAAACCTAAAGATGTCACTGCAGTCTTTAAAAAGTTGAATAGCAAGAAGGCCAGCGGACCTGATGGTATCTCATCTTTTATTTTAAAAACATTCTCGGATGAGCTAACCCCAGCTTGGTGCACCTTATTTCAACTTTCTGTGGATACATGTACTATTCCCACTATTTGGAAGACATCAGTTGTCATCCCGTTGGCCAAAAAATCATGCCCCAAGCAAAATGATGACTATAGACCAGTAGCGCTGACTTCTATAGTGATGAAGTCACTGGAACGTATAATGGTTGGTAAATTAAGAAGTGAGGTACAGCATCTCTTGGACCCATACCAATTTGCCTATAATAATGGCAGGGGTACTGAGGATGCTTTAATTACAACTGTACACTCCATCTTAAAGCACTTGGAAAATCCATTAGGTTATGTTCGCTTATTATTTATGGATTTCAGTTCTGCTTTTAATTGTATTCTTCCGCAGAAAATGTTAAGTAAACTACATCAGATGAAAGTGAATCCCTTCATTATTAAATGGTATGGTTCTTTCCTGACAGAAAGGAAGCAGCAGGTGAGAGTTAACTCCACCCTTTCTGATATGATTAACATTAGTACAGGTGCCCCGCAAGGTTGTGTAAGTTCGCCCTTACTTTTTATATTATATACAAATGAGTGCAGAAATAATGATGAGAGGAATAATTTTATTATTAAATTTTCAGATGATACGGCCATCCTTAGTTTACTTTACAAAAACTCAGATATTGGTATGTATACACAGGAGATAGAGGAGATGGTGAAGTGGTGCAATAAGCATAACTTGCTCCTTAATGTTAATAAAACTAAGGAAATGATTTTTGATCCTAAGTCTATAGGTGACCTAAGCCCTATTCTAGTTGAAGGAGTTCCGATTGAACAAGTAACATCGTATAAATATTTAGGAATTCAATTAGATAAACAGTTACAATGGTCACATCAAGTGGAATATGTTTCCTCAAAAATATGTCAGCGTCTTCACTTTCTAAGAAGATTAAGAGTGCATGGAGTTGACAAGGATATTATGATACTGTTTTATAAGGCAGCTATTGAGTCAATTGTTCGATATGGTATGGTAGTTTGGTTTGGTAACCTGTCAGTTAAATTAAAAGCATCACTCCAAACATTGATTAAAAGGGCAGGGAAAATAATCGGGCAAGTGCAATCGACTACTCTTAATGAGCTTTTTGTGGAGGCGGTAAAGAAACATAGTTTTAAAATAATCAACGATCCGAATCATGTCCTATGCAGTGAGTATGAGATGATGCCCTCAGGCAGAAGGTACAGGTTACCAAACTGCAGATTAAATAGGTTTAAATTTTCTTTTGTACCGCTCTCTATTAAAATACTGAACGATCAACTAGGGTGTGTGGGTTAGAATTTAAGTGTGAAACTAATTATGTTTAATCATGTCGGGTGTGACATTAATTTTTAACATTAATATAATCTGTAATTCATGTTTGTGTGTTATGTGTTATGTATAATGTATACTGTGTTGCATCTGTTTCCTGAAGGCCAAAGATGAATTTCTCCATTAGGAGACAATAAAGGCTAATCCAATCCAATTGCATTTTTTTGTAGCTGCACACTTTCACAGAAAATATTGCTTTAATTTGCCATTATAGTCATTTGACTTGACGAATCATGGAAGGATCCTATCCGCAATGATCCAAAAGACCCAATCAGCGAGCGAATGTGTGTATCCACGCCTTCGTTTTCAAAAGCGTCTTTCCAACGCATTCTCATCCCGCGGCTAGGCGTCATACAACGCTGTTTAGGTATAGGTATTGGGTAGGGTTAGACCACTAGGAGGCGCCTTCTGGCCCATATATATCTGAATCTCATATTGACGCTAAAGGGTGACATGTGCGTTGCATATATACGCCTTGGCAAAAGCGTCGGGGCTGGTCTTTCTCAATCTGAAATCTCCCCCTAAACCCCCAGTCACTATTTCCTATGTTAGTCCACTAATACAGTTCACTTGAAATAGTGAATAGAAACGAGTAAGCGATTTCGGACAGCCGTAGAGCGTGAAATGTAGTGAAATGTGGGATTAAATGACTGTAGCTACTCAATAATGTCTGACTCGGAAATGTCTGACTGTACCACTACAAATGGCTGTCCCCTCAAATAATGCCTTATTTGAGGGTATAGGGGGTGAATGATTTCAGATTCAGCCACCGGTTTCATTTACACTGAAACGCAACCCCAGAGTTTTCAAACTAAAACAAGGTCTGCAGCATTTCCAAAAGTCTCAGTTTTTGAGGGCCGAAAAACTCCAGAGTGGTGTGAATGCCAGGCGCAACCGTAGTAAGAGTTATGCATTTTAAAATGAAAATGTAGAAGTGTAAACAGTGCCTTAGAATTCTCAGATGCCACTTGATTTGAATTCACCAATAAAATTCAAATAATAAATTTTTAAGTGTGACTGAGTGCTGTTTTGGAGCCACAGTAACTGGGCTAAATCAATAGACATGTCCGTGTTTTGAAATGTATAGTATGTTGTGAAGATGAGACAGGCCGTTCTAAAGACCTCTCAATCCTTCTGAACACTTGTCCATGGTGCTATAATAAACCAACACAAGGAGAAAATACTACCTGGAACATTCTTGGGAAAGGGCAGGCAGAGGTCTAAATAGACACATGAACAGAGGAAAATGAAACACATTACCAGCAACAGGTGTAAATGTCCAACTGCTCAACACTCTGTAAAACACACAAGGGTGCGTGACTGGTCTGACTGTCAAATAAAAGATTGGGGATTTCTAGGTTTGATATAATCTAGAATATAATGTGGATGTTGTACTCCCCCCCCCCCCCCCCCCCCAAAAAAAAAAAAAAAAGAACTAGTCTGCCTCAGCAGAGTATACAGAGATGAAGTTGAGTCAAAGATAGCATCATTTTGAGAAATGGCTCTTTGCAGAAAAAAAAACCCAGACTATGAAAAGATTTGACTCCATTCCATTTGTGACAAAGTGTGTAAAGTGTTAAATGGATTTCAGAATTTAAAAGAGACCATCAAAAAGTCCAATTATCGTCTCTATGTGCATTCACATGGACAAACTGCACAGAGATAAAAGTGTGTGTCTTGCACTTACAGCAGTTCTGGCTTCTTCTCATCAGTTTGCCCTTGGGACATAATGATCTATCTGTTATCTGTAGAGAATTTTAGTCAGCAAAGAAACCCTGCTGTCTCTTTGAGGTTAAAATAAAACTATGTTTGACATGTGCTGAAATTTGCCACCTAATATTTCTTAGTTGGTTATATTTTATGCATTGTTATGTGGTTGCTAGGGTGTTCTGAAATCCGTATGTCTGACCAATTAACAGAAAAGGAATGTCTACTGTAATTTCTCGGAAAGATATTTTTACAGTGTTTGGTCAGCAGAACAATCCAAAAACACATTTAATAACAACGAAGAGTACAATGAATAAATTAAGCAACGTATGTCTATCCCTCACAGCCTTGCTTTTATATTCATTAAAAACCAAAGATGGCGCTGCTGTGAATAAGGTCTAGCGCTCTGTTTATAAGCGTGTGCTGCAGTTTGCTATTCATCTGCTGAAAAAAAATTCTGAAAGTGATTCCAAAGATATTGTTCCTCTGTATTGTTATCGTTATAATTGGTGTTGTGGACTTCCCAATTCTCATAGAATTAGAATGACTATTAAAACTTTAGTTAGAGTTGTCATTATAGTTTTCGTCCTTGGTGTGAACAGCCATTAAATCTTACAGTCAGTTTTGGCGGATCAACTACTGTCATGGCGGACAACTGTCTTGCTGAGCAAGTTAGATACAAATATTTTACGTAAAATATCTGCAGTGCAGCCTTCTAAACTGCATTACACATTTTTAACCAATATTTGAGAGTAAGAAAACATATGTGAGACCAGTCATGTCATTGACTGGATGTCATTGCTAATGTGTTATTTAAATGTGAGATTTTTGTATTCCAATTAGAAATGCACTTGTGTAACCAGTCCTACTCAACCCATTCTGAGCAGGATTCAAACCTCTGACGCGGGAGGTGGGCTCTCTAACAAGGACACTAAAGACTGCAGTCTCTAGTATCAGTTGCCAGATAGCTTCTTGAGATCAGGGGAGTGAGGTTTACATGCACATAGATATCCCATTGGCCTGTTACACTCACTTCCCTTAACCTCACTCCCAATGGCACCAAATCCTGCTCTGAATGGGTTTGGCCTCCGGCGTGGGAGGCGGGTGCTCTAACAAGGAGTCTAAAGAACACGGCCACTAGCCTCAGTTGCTAAACACCACTTGAGATCAGGGGAGGGAGGTTTGCACGCACAGTTCTTACTGGCCTACGACAGTAACACTTGCATGAAATAGCTGCCGAGTGTGATGGTCAAAACTACATTGCCTTGAAAGAGACCCTGTTCAAATGAAAACACGTGCAAAGAATCACTGTGTTTTATGGTGTAAAAATGTTTTGTTTCTGCCCTCAGATTCACACGAAGAAATAACTAATCTTTACTGTGAGTAATCGTGGTAATGATGCTTGATTTAGTAAACACCATAAATCATGTATGCAAGCTCAATGACAGTGGTTTGACGAAAAGTGGCGCATGGTTATTTCTGTTCAGTTCTTCACCTCCATGCTGGAAAGGGGCAAGGTCAGGGTGTCGGGCCGGCTAGGAAGGATTCATTCCACACATCATTTGGCAGGAAATTGCTGCCCTACACAGTTTCACACTGGCACACAGCCCACAAAGCCACAAATCTGCCAGCAGCATTATCGAGTATTTTAAAAACCCTTACGGGTCTCAAGAGGAGCAAGAAAAGGCTGACGGTTATTGACTCAACATGCTTTCTTGAAATTCCATTGCTCTACTTTGGATCCAAACTATCAATACAGGTATGTAGAGACCTTGGCCTTGCAAGAGATATAAACGGAAAACTTTACATATATATAGATTGATTAGTAAGATAGAGCATGCTTTGGATGCTTCTCTGCCTTCTGATAAGTGCTCAGAGGATGGCAGAGCAAATGGAGGGAAAAGGTTTCAGGAATACATTCATACATGTGCCTTCTTTGATTCAAGATGTCTTGGAGTTAAAATCAACTGTTCTATAAAGCCATGTCAAGTGAGACATGAAAAAATACAATAGAAAGCCAATAAGTTGCTGTCCGTTGACATGAATGAAAAGCATATTTTATTTGTGAATTCCCAAGAATAAAGGCCTTTGTGTGCATTGATTTCGAAATTCATTTATCAAATGGATACAACGATTTAGACAGTTTTAATCAACCAAAAACCTTTATCGATTAGATGCCATAGAAAAGGCATATTCATTCTCAAGAGGAACTTGTAAAATTATTTGTACGTCCCTCATTGCTGAGTGCATTCAATCATCTCATTACTTATAAAATCATGTGACATTGGACAAAAGGAACGACTCATGCTCCTTGTTTTGGGAATAAAGATTTGGGCCATTTTCCAAACCCAGGGTCAGTGAATCAATAATGCATTTACTCTGCTTTATGTTTGGCATCATTCTGCATTTAGCAAAAGCATGTTGTGCTTAAGAAACAGTTGACATTGTCGATACAGCATATGTGAGTGTGTACTTGTAAAAATAATGTAGTTCTCTTCATGCCCTGATGCTCTTAATAATGGCAAGGCAATTTTGTAAGTGGGGTCCTATCCACCATCAACTCCAGTTCAGACCCCTTAAAGGTACAATATGCAGGATTTTTGCAGTAAAATATCCAAAAACCACTGGGCCAATGTCATATATTTTGTTTAGTTGATTAATATCCCAAATGTTTCAAACTTATTGTAAATCGTGAGAAAATTGCGATTTTTAGCCAAGGAAACGGGGCGTGTGAGCAGGGGTGAGGAGTCGCCAGTCAATGACGTCATATCCGCGTTACCCTCGGTTTAGTCTTAGTCTCATACAGCCAACAAACAACCTAACTAACAACATTCAACGCACTCAAATGCCGTTTATTTAAAAAGCAGGATATGACAGAGATGCTCAGCCTCTGGGTAGGTTTCATTTTTCTGAAAAAGGGGATCATAAAAATATATATACTGTATATACAAAGCATTTTGCTTTCAAACTAAATTTTAATGGACGTAGACTAACTGAAACAAACCAAACACTTGATATTGGAAATGCATTGCTCTTACCATAAGATCTTCAAGCTTTCTTAAGGCCATCAGATTTATTCATAAACTGTGCTTACAGAGTTATGGACCATCATTCTTAGCTGGTTTGTATCACTGAAGTGCTCTGTCAGTGAATTGTTAATATATTCTTTACATAGGAAAAGCATTAATAATACATTCTTTACAAAGTAAAATCAATACTTCTGGCTTCCATACACTAAATGAAAAACTATGGTTAGTTTTATAAGAGAACTGAAATGGAACTTATCCAAGGATTTTTCTGTTTTTAGGACTTTCCAGAGCTCAGATCTTCCAGATCTCACAGACAGGCATCAGACAAGATGTTCTTTGTGAAGGGGATCAAAACAACACCAGCCATTCAACAAAGGTTTACCACTTAATTTTAGTGATTGTTATTCGTGTCATCATGTGGCTAATCAGCACCCAGCACTGGAACTATATGTTATAAAATATAATCTATTTCACTGTTCGGACATCTTTTCCCAGGGTAATTCATAAGAGACTGTGGGGATATGAGCTAAAAGACAGAAAAAGGACAGAAACAGCTCTGAAGGCTGGGGAGGACAGGGCCATTCTGTTGGGTTTGGGTATGGTGTTCAGCTCAATCATGATGTACTTTGTGATCTGTATCACCATGGTGCGCACATTTGCAGACAGGTAGTGTTACATCACGTCTGCTTAATCATATTTAGCCCTGAACTATACATACCCTCACCTAAAGGATTATTATAGGAACACCATACTAATACTGTGTTTGACCCCCTTTCGCCTTCAGAACTGCCTTAATTCTACATGGCATTGATTCAACAAGGTGCTGAAAGCATTCTTTAGAAATGTTGGCCCATATTGGTAGGATATCATCTTGCAGTTGATGGAGATTTGTGGGATGCACATCCAGGGCACGAAACTCAAGTTCCACCACATCCCAAAGATGCTCTATTGGGTTGAGATTTGGTGACTGTGGGGGCCATTTTAGTGCAGTGCTCATTGTCATGTTCAAGAAACCAATTTGAAATGATATAAGCTTTGTGACATGGTGCATTATCCTGCTGGAAGTAGCCATCAGAGGATGGGTAAATGGTGGCCATAAAGGGATGGACTTGGTCAGAAACAATGCTCAGGTAGGCCGTGGCATTTAAACGATGCTCGATTGGCACTAAGGCCGTGTGTCCACCAAAGCGTTTATAGCCAGCTGAAAACGCTAGACGCTCTGCTGAAGATGCCGTGCATTGGGCGCTTGAGAGCGTTTTGGCAGCCCAGCTTTTTTCCGTTGAGACGTTTCGTTGCTATGATACAGAATATCCGCAGCAGTTTGAATGTTGACAGTTGGTCGGTGTGGTATTAGTCCCGCCCCTCCTCCACTGTGATTGGCTGGGTAAAAAGTGAGAGTGATGAGTGCTGCGTTTTTATCCAAAGTTGAACATTTTTCAACTCCCAGCGACCAGTAAAAAACGCTGGGCGCTCGGCGCTTCAGCGTGAAAAAAACGTTCAGCGCCTCGGTACTCTCATGGCGTTCAAAAACGCGGCGCTCCCATTGAAAACAATTGAAAACATACGCCAGGCGCGTGGAAAAACGCTTTGGTGGACACACGGCTTAAGGGGCAAAAAGTGTGCCAATAAATCATCCTCCACACCATTACACCACCACCAGTAGCCTGCAAAGTGTATAGCAAGGCATGATGGATCCATGTTCTCATTCTGTTTATACCAAATTCTGAACAGAAATCGAGACTCATCAGACCAAGCAGCATTTTTCCAGTCTTCAACTGTCCAATTTTGGTGAGCTCTTGCAAATTGTAGCCTCTTTTTCCTATTTGTAGTGGAGATGAGTGGTACCCGGTGGGGTCTTCTGCTGTTGTAGCCCATCCGCCTCAAGGTTGTGCGTGTTGTGGCTTCACAAATGCTTTGCTGCATACCTCGGTTGTAACGAGTGGTTATTTCAGTCAAAGTTGCTCTTCTATCAGCTTGAATCAGTCGGCCCATTCTCCTCTGACCTCTAGCATCAACAAGACATTTTCACCCACAGGACTACCGCATACTAGATGTTTTTCCCTTTTCACACCATTCTTTGTAAACCCTAGAAATGTTTGTGTGTGAAAATCCAAGTAACTGAGCAGATTGTGAAATACTCTGACCGGCCTGTGTGGCACCAACAACCATGCCACGCTCAAAATTGCTTAAATCACCTATCTTTCCCATTCTGACATTCAATTTGGAGTTCAGGAGATTGTCTTGACCAGGACCACACCCCTAAATGCATTGAAGCAACTACCATGTGATTGGTTGATTAGATAATTGCATTAAAGAGAAATTGAACATGTGTTCCTATAATCCTTTAGGTGAGTGTATTTCAAATATGTTTTTGGAGCCTTTAAGTGTGACTTATACGAGTTATCTTTCTTTTAAAAGTGTTATTTCTGTTGTAAAATGCAGTGTATTGACAGATGAGACCACCTGTATTGTGCTTAACTCCACTCTTACGAAGGATATCAATTGTTCGTACAACTGTGGCTCTGACTGCTGGAGAAGCTCTGAGTTCCCCTGTCTACAGGTCTACGTCAGCCTGAACGCCACCGGCCGTATCGGGCTGCTCTTTCACAATGAGGAGATGCTGGACGTCACTTCTGAGGTGAATATTTCAATTGTGGTTTCTTTCAAACAGCAATGAGATTACATTTAAATCGAATGGAGGATTTTCAAAAGTGAAGGAATTCATTCATTTTGCATGTTAGGTGTGCTGACATTGGATTTGCTGCATCCCAAATCACACACTCTCTTGAGTAAGTACTAATGCTACTGCTAAAAAAGTACATTATATTTGTGTAGTAGGATTGTAATCCGGACGCACTACACATTCACCATGTTATGATTATCATGTGACCTACCATATGTCCCTTCACTGTCATTTTCAAATTCTCTCCTGTGGCCTCATGGAATAGCCTTTCATGACTGGAAATTTCAGCAGCCATATCACCCTGTAGCCCAAGACTGGTTGCCCATTAAAGCTAAGCAGGGCTGAGCCTGGTTAGTACCTGGATGGGAGACCTTCTGAGAAAGCCAGTGCTGCTGGTAGAGGTGTTAGTGTGGCCAGCAGGGGGTGCTCACCCTGTGGTCTGTGTGGGTCCTAACGCCCCAGCAAAGTGATGGGGACACTATGCTGTCAAAAAGAGCACCGTCCTTCGGATGAGACGTTAAACCGAGGTCCTGACTCTCTGTGGTCATAAAAAAATCCCAGGATGTCTTTCGTAAAAGCAGGGGTGTAACCCCGACATCCTAGCCAAATTTGCCCAGTAGGCTCTGTCCATCATGGCCTCCTAATCATCCCCATATATACACCAATTGGCTTCATCACTGTCTCCTCTCCACCAGTAAGCTGGTGTGTGGTGAGCGTTCTGGCGCAATATGGCTGCCGTCGCATCATCCAGGTGGATGCTGCACATTGGTGGTGGTTGAGGAGATCCCCCCCTTCTATGTGAAGCGCTTTGAGTGTCCAGAAAAGCGCTATATAAATGTAACGAATTATTATTATTATTATTAATAGCAAAGTATCCATTGTATCCACAATTCAGAATCTTGCTGAAAGTTGTAGGTCATCTGGGGTCTTTTTGCCTACTCTTTTATGAGGACTGTGAATTCGGACATATTTCTTTTGCCACATACTGTTTTTCACCTACTATATAGTAGGGAAGTATGTGATTTTGGATGCAGCCAATGATATAATAAAATGGTGGAAGTCAGCAAAATGGATGAGCAGAATCTTTAAATGAAACTCCTTTGAGCAACTTATGTCGGGTATTCATTGATTTTGGGCTGTCCCAGACGAAAGATGGCCAGTCATGGCAAATGTTGTGGTCATAGCTCCTAAACATTGGTCCTACGTCATACAGAGAGGTCACGGTCTTGCGACCATCAACGCAACATGACTCTAAAGCTTTCTAAATGACTCTAAAACTCTAAAATGACTCTAAGCTCCAAGTGCAAGTTTTGGCTCAACAAGATTTTTCAAATGTTTCTGAAAGAAATCTCTTATGCACACTCAGGCTGCATTTATTCAATCAAATATACAGTAAAAACAGTATTGTGACATTTACAATAGCCTATTATCAACATGGAATTCATGCTGACTTTCAGTTATCTTGCTCTTAGACTCCTATGTTTTTGATATGAGTTTAGGTACGAGTTTTCCACATACAAACGACACCATTGTCGAAACGGATCTGAGAAAACGACTAAAAACTTTGAAACACTTTTTTCAAAACTTTGCGTTTTCAGGCACCCAAAACGCAGTTGTCGTGTAGCTGAACCGCCGAAATGCTTAAAAAGTTTCACGTTTTAGTTGAAAACGGTGTTGTGTTCACAGCCCTTGTTCTTGTTGTCCTTTGTTTAGTTTCCTGCCACTTATTAGTTACTATGGAGATTCATTAATCATCACAGGTGTTTGTCATTAGTTCCCATTTGCTTCAGATGCAGTCTTTTTAATGTTCATTTGTCTGTTCACGTTAATGCATCGGTTGAGTTTATTCGGCTGCATGATTTGGGTTTAGCGTCTGAGGCTGGATTTTTCAGCAGGAAATATCTCACTGACAAGAAACATTTGACCAATATAGTGTGGTTATTTAAATGTGCATATTTGGATATATTTTAAGTAAATAATAGATGCAAAACTGGAAAATAACCTTAATAAATAATAACTTGTGGTTTTGTTTTCACTGTTTAAAGTAGATTTTTAATTTATTTTTCCACAGTGTTTTTATGTGCCAAAATGCCAGAAGGACCACAGCGTCCTGCGTGTTATGTTCCAGAATATTTCCGAACATCTGAAGACACTCCAGCAGGTCACATGTTTCCACGACTCCAGCAAGCATCAGACCAGTATCCTTCTGAACCATCCGCATAGCAGCAGTGCAGTTTTCCACTCTCTCTTCTGGCCATCCTGCATGTGTTCTGGAGGAGCCCTCATCATACTCATGGTCAAGCTCACTCAATTCCTTTCCACACTCTGTGAACAAATTGGCAAAGCTCCAAAGTGAAAGGGGCGCAGTCATTTATAGACTTGGTGAAGTGAATGAATGAACTTTACTTTCTCTTTGAAATGGTTTTTGGTCTCCTGCTGTTGACTGGATTGACTGGAAATTGATATGTCAGTCTTCCATGGCTAAGCTATATTGTAACCACAAATCATATCTCTGAAGCACTATTCCAGATGGAGCTAGTGCTGTTCAGATGACGAGTTTTTAATAGTGCAAAATAATGATGCAGTGTAATATAAACATTAAATATCTAACCTTTCTGTCACTCTTCAGTTGACTACCCTCTCAGTTAAATTATTAGTTCACTTTCAAATTAAATTTCCTGATAATTTACTCAACCCCATGTCTTCCAAGATGTCAATGTCTTTCTTTCTTCAGTCGAACAGAAATTAAGGTTTTGAGGAAAACATTCCAGGATTTTTTCCCATTTCCCACGTGATGACGTAATGCCATTTGTGGTTAAAAGTATATATTGAATTTTTATCTTTTTAGAAAATGGCCAAACGTTTTGCGAGGCAGCGTCACAGTAATGACATAAATAAATACAAGAAGTTTGTTTCTAGAATAAAATTGCTTCATCGTCCACCTGAAGTAAGACAGATCAAAAATATTGTAATAATTAAATTATATTGTAATAATTAAATAGTTAAATGTCCCCATCTAAGCAATCCAAAAGCCAAGGTGACAGTGGCAAGGAACCAAAACTCCATCAGGTGACAGAATGGAGAAAAAACCTTTTGAATGGAGAATGGAGAGCGAACCCATGCAGGCTCAGACGGGGGCCAGTTCTACTCTTGCCAATGAACGGTTATGTATGTATGATTATGATTCAGGGAACATTTCAGGTCAGAAGTCTAATTGGATCAGAACATTCACAATATTATACAGTTCCATCTGGTTGGAGGTCAGAGTCATCACGCCGGTGTGGAGACGAGTTTGTCGAGGTGTCCATGAGGCTGGCATTTCAGTGATGCGTTGTGGTCGTGTCCAGGCGCAGGTTCACCATCTGATCTGGATATGGCTCGGATCCGGCTGACTTAAGTAAACTTTGGAATAAATGAAAAGACTGACATTAGTGTAGATGCCAGTACATCAGGTGTTTTGGGAAGTGTCCCCGGTTCCGGCTAACCTAATCTATGCAGCCTAATAATTGTTTAACTGATTTGAATAATAGAAATGTATAATGTTCTATGTGAATGCCAGGTAAAAGAGATTTGTTTTTAGTCTAGATTTGAACTGACAGAGTGTGTCTGCTTCCCAGGACAACGTTAGGGAGACTGTTCCAAAGTTTTGGTGCTAAATAGGAAAAGGATCTACTGCCAGCAGTCAACTTTGATATTCTAGGTACTGCAGCAATATTTTTAAATGTATACGCAGTTTAATAGGGAGACAATGCAGTGTTGACAGAACCGGGCTAATATTGTCATTGTCAAGTCGTTTCACGTGGTTGTTATACCATTCTCATGCATTTTCATTGTGGTATCTTGATTAAATAATATTTGATTGTTGTCCATTTTGTCATACTATTTCTACCCCCTAAGAAACGTTTGTAAAAATAGGGCCCAATGTACAGTGTTAATATGAAGAAAATTACAATAAATGTGTTAACTTATGGATGATTATTTCTGCCACAGAATAAAAAAAAATTAAAAAGGTGATTGAGACTTTTTATCTCACAAGTCTGACTTTTTTCTCATAATTGCTAGTTTACATTTCAATATTGGGATGAGCCCGTTCTCATCCCAATGAGTCATATACGACGCTTTTGCCAAAGCATAGACATCCAACGCACATGGCACCTTTTAGCATCAACTGAGACGCAGACATATATGGGCCAGATGGCGCCTCCTAGTGGTCTAACCCTACCCCATACCTAAACCAACTATAACCGAAGCGTCTCATTTGACGCTAAAGGGTGCCATGTGCGTTGGATGTCTACGCTTTGGCAAAAGTGTCGTATGTGACGCCTTGGGATAAAAATGCGTTGGTAATTTCGAGTTTATATCACAAAATATTTAGAATTGCAAGTTATAAAAAAAACTTTGTGTCTAAAAACTGAGGCTGATTGCTGCCCTATCAGGCAATGACTTTGCAGGCAGCATTTGCACATGAATGCATCTCAAAAGTGATTTCAGACAGACTTCAGAGGAAGCACAACGGTTTAATGATCTATAGCAAAAAAGAATGAGGTTTGGTGATAACTAAGCGAATATTAAATTGCTAGTAATTTCTCGCCAGAATTGACATCAAAAGTGATAAATGTTTGTCAAGAACATACTTTACACAGAAACTGACCACCAACTGCGACTTTTAGATGCCATCATTATTTGACTTGAACAATCACAATGTATAAAAACTTTGGCCATATTTAGGGCATAAGGCACTAATATTTTTTCTTAAGACTGAATGATGAATTAAGTCATTATAACTACTAACTTGACAGTAGAGGCACATTATACTATTTTCTAACTTGGTCGTGCTGCTCCACGTTGCCCCCAGGCTTGCACCTTAAGAGCCGGTAGATCCTTCCCTCTGTTAGTTTACCGCCGGGTAACTCCTCTCGACTGATCTCAGTGCAGCGGAAAGCAAGATGCTGGTTGAGTTTCACCAGCCCCACCAGGAGGATTCCACCAAACAACATGAGGCTGGGCCACAGCAGGTAATAGAAGGCCAATTGAATGGAGTATTTCCTCCTCAAGATGGCGTCATCTGGGTATATAGCACTGAGAAAGCATGTCATGTTTTCCCCTTGTGTACTTAACGCTTGTTTGATGTTACTGGCCTCAGCCTCTTGTTCTGTCTTGTTTCGTTGGCATTTCGGAGTGTAGAAGCACTGAGGGAAAAGATTATGGCAAACTGAATATTTCAGATATTTACACCACATGGTCACTCACTGTTTTGATTGATATGTTTTAAAACGTGATATATTTTTATCCATAAATTGGAACAGTATATTTTAAAATAACTGATATTATTTTAATCATTTTAATTTTGAAAGTCTTACCGCTCCAGTACTTTTCTCCATAATTCCCTGTTCAAAAAAGTAATCATTTTAGAATAGAATAAAACAATATTTGTTGTAAAATACAGTATTTTGACTCAATGAAATAAGTCAAAAATCACACTATTAAAATACTTTGTTTATGTAAAATCATCACACATTTTAATGTCAGTAGTGTTACAATGAAATAAAAACACATTTAAGTTTTACTTCACTGGTAACAATGAATCGATTCTTTTTTTGTTAAAGGTTATGTTATATTAAGCTAGTTGGCATTTACAATTAAGATGTTCAATATCAACAATATAATGAATGTTGATGAAATAAATAAGTTAATACATTGTTATAATATTGTAAGTATTATTATTAATATTTGTTGTGACCTTCAATAAAATAAAATAACATTTTAAATGCCAATGCCACCGTAGTTGTATAAGAAGAGTTCAGTTTAGGCAAAAAAATTTTTTTTTAAAATAAATTTGAGAGGTACAGCAGAGGAAAAGGTTTTTCAGAAAAAAAAAAACTTGGAAATGAAGAAATTGTGCTTTCTTTTTGGAGCTTGGCATTAAACGCATAGTCCATAAAACCAGAGGAATGAAAATAATATAGAATTTTGAGTGACAGGATGATTAAATCCTCCACTCATTTAAATAACACTGACAACTGTACCTTTGACCTGGAATTCACAGCCTCTTCATCGTAGTAAAGCCGAAGTGTTTTTTCAGGGGACGAAATGATTACCAAAGCACGCAGACATTTAAAGCTGACAATGACACGGCAGTCCATCACTTCATCCAGCAAATCAATCTGGACTAATGAGCAGTTGACAGAATTTTTCCAGTCACTGTTGGAAAGATAAACGTGAATTATAAAGTGAATGCTTACAATGTAAAAATTGTTGTAAACACCTATTAATTGGTCAACAGTAAGTTCCATTACACAGGGGAAAGCTTTAAATGATCTAACTTTACATTTCATGTAATGTTACAGTAAAACACTGTTAAATGTAATGTTTTTGGAAGTAAAAAAACAACAACAAATCTTACAATTTACAGTGAAAAGCCGTAAACGGACATCCCAACCCGATCTCACGACCAAGTCGTACGAATTCGACGAATGATTAAAAAGTGGCTAATTCGTAACAATTCATACGACCTCACTCGTACGAATTAATACGATTTTGCTAAATCGTACATATTTTACGAATTGGCCAATTCGTATGAATTCGTACGAATGACCTACCCCTGACCCCGCCCCTAAACCTAACCATCACGTGGGTTTAGACAAATCGTACGAATTAGTACGAGTGAGGTCGTACGAATTAGTACGAATTAGACACTTTTTAATCATGCGTCGAATTCGTACGAATTGGTCGTGAGATAGTGTTGGACATCCCCAGAATACCTGTGTGATACTTCACATTTTATGTTTTTATTTTTTATTTATTTGAATAATTATGTTTATGATTATTGCTATAAGTTATGTGCTTTAGGGTTTTAGGTAACACTTTATTTGAAGGGGCATGCATAAGACTGTCATGACACTGTCATAACCATGACATAACACAGGTCATGAACATGAAGGAGTCTTTATGAATGATTATGACTGTTGTCATTAAGTGTCATTCGGTAAATTATGACACTTTTAATGCAAAGTTGACATTGTTTAAAATGTCTTAGTTATGACAACTTGAAATTAACAAAGACAAAAAATGTCTTGATTATGACAACTTGACATTGGTTATTGTCAAGTTGTCATAACAAAGACATTTCTTGTCTTTGTTAATATAGTTCCCAGTATGTGAATATTTGTGAATATAGTTAGAATATAGTATGTATATGGTTAAAAGATGCCTGTGTCTCATATAGGACCTTGTTAACATTGCAAATTAGCCTTGGCTATAAATGTTGTAGTGTGGTGCATGTTGATTGTTCCCACTTGTCCCTACCAGATAAAAAAATAAATAAACAACATATAAATAGGAAAATGTTGGTGTTATTCTGTCACTTATTGGGAGACAGAAATATAATACATAAAAATAAATAAACAATATATATATGAAAATAAACAATATATATATACGAGGCACTAATAGTAGGGGATCTTATTTACTCATGGTAGGGTATAAGCTCTCACTCAGATACATTGGAGTTTGTAAGCAAGGCCTAGCTCCACTGTGGCTTCCTTGGGGTCTGGAGTCTGGGTTTTTAAAATTTGGCATCATTTGGCACCACTGCTTATGCCTTTTGCAAAATTTGCACCCTGAAAGCCTGTTCACACTGGGACGAATTCTGTGCGCGTTATTCGTCGACGTTTAACGCCTCGTGACTAAACAAAGTGCG